AAAGTAGTAATATAAACATAAAGTGGTGATATAAACAAAAAGTGGTGATATAAACACAAAGTGGTGATATAAATAGCAAGTGGTGATATAAACACATAAAGTGGTGATATAAACAAAAAGTAGTGATATAAACACAAAGTAATAATATTGAAACAAAGTGGTGATATAAACACAAAGTGGTGATATAAACAAAAAGTGAGGATATAAACAAAAAGTGGGGATATAAACACAAAGTAGTAATATTAACACAAAGTAGTGATATAAACACACATAGTTGTGATATAAACACAAAGTAGTGATATAAACACAAAGTGGTGATATAAACAAAAAGTTTGATATAAACACAAAGTAGTAATATTAACACAAAGTGGTGATATAAACAGAAAGTTGGGATATAAACACAAAGTAGTAATATTAACATAAAGTGGTGATATGAACACAATGTGGTGATATAAACACAAAAAAGTGATATAAACAAACAAAGTAGTGATATCAACACACAACAGTGATATAAATACACAACAGAGATATAAGCTAACAAAGTAGTGAGATAAACACACAACCGTGATATAAACACAAAAAAGTATAAAAACACAACAGTGATATCAACACAAAATGTTGATATAAGCACACAAAGTGGTGATAACAGCAAAAAATTGTGATATAAACACAAAGTTGTTATATAAACACAAAGTGGTGATATAAACACAAAGTAGTAATATAAACATAAAGTGATGATATAAACACAAAGTAGTAATATAAACACACAAATTGGTGATATAAATAAAGTGGTGATATACACACAAAGTGGTGATATAAACATAAAGTGGTCATATAAACACAAAGTAGTAATATTAACACAAAGTGGTGTTAAAAACAAAAAGTGGTGATATTAACATAAACTAGTGATATAAACACACATAGTTGTGATTTAAACACGAAGTAGTAATATAAACACAAAGACAAAAAGTGGGGACATAAATAAAGTGGTGATATACACACAAAGTGGTGATATAAACACAAAGTTGTGATATAAACACAAAGTGGTGATATAAACACAAAGTGGTGTTATAAACACAAAGTAGTAATATAAACATAAAGTGGTCATATAAACACAAAGTAGTAATATTAACACAAAGTGGTGTTATAAACAAAAAGTGGTGATATTAACATAAAGTAGTGATATAAACAAAATGTTGTGATATAAACACAAAGTGTTGATATAAACACAAAGTAGTAATTTAAACACAAAGTGGTGATATAAACAGAAAGTAGTGATATACACACAAAGTGGAGATATACATATATGTAAACACAAAGTAGTAATATATACACAAAGTGATGACATAAACACAAAGTAGTGATATAAATACAAAGTGATGATATAAACAAAAAGTGCTGATATAAACACACAATGTAGTGATATAAACACAAAGTGGTGATATCAACAAAAAGTGGTGATATAAACACAAAGTATTATTATTAACACAAAGTGGTGACATAAACACACAAAGTGGTAATAGAAGACAAAGTAGTGATATAAACACAAAGTGTTGATATAAACAAAAAGTGGTGATATAAACACAAAGTATTATTATTAACACAAAGTGGTGACATAAACACACAAAGTGGTAATAGAAGACAAAGTAGTGATATAAACACAAAGTAGTGATAAAAACACACTACAATTTTATAAACACAAAGTGATGATAATAAAAACACACCAGTGATATAAACACAAAGGGTTGATATAAACACAAAGTAGTGATATAAATCCAAAGTGGTGACATGAACACAAAGAAGTGATATAAACTCACAAAGTGGTAATAGAAAACAAAGCAGTGATATAAACACAAAGTGATGATATAAACAAAAAGTGCTGATATAAACACACAATGTAGCGATATAAACACAGAGTGATGATATAAACACAAAGTAGTGATATACACACAAAGTGGAGATATAAACACAAAGTAGTAATATAAACATAAAATGGTGATATAAACAGGTGATATAAACACAAAGTAGTAATAAGTGATATAAATACAAAGTGGTGATATGAACACAAAGAAGTGATATAAACACATAAAGTGGTAATAGAAAACAAAGTAGTGACATAAACACAAAGTGATGATATAAACAAAAAGTGCTGATATAAACACACAATGTAGCGATATAAACACAGAGTGATGAAATAAACACAAAGTAGTGATATAAATACAAAGTGGTGATATGAACACAAAAAGTGATATAAACACACAAAGTCGTGATATAAACAAAAAGTGGTGATATAAACACAAAGTATTATTATTAACACAAAGTGGTGACATAAACACACAAAGTGGTAATAGAAAACGAAGTAGTGATATAAACACAAAGTGATGATATAAACAAAAAGTGCTGATATAAACACACAATGTAGTGATATAAACACAAAGTGGTGATATCAACAAAAAGTGGTGATATAAACACAAAGTATTATTATTAACACAAAGTGGTGACATAAACACACAAAGTGGTAATAGAAGACAAAGTAGTGATATAAACACAAAGTGTTGATAGAAACACAAAGTAGTAATTTAAACACAAAGTGGTTATATAAACAGAAAGTAGTGATATACACACAAAGTGGTGATATAAACACAAAGTGGTGATATAAACACAAAGTAGTGATATAAACACACTACAATTTTATAAACACAAAGTGATGATAAAAAAAACACACCAGTGATATAAACACAAAGTGTTGATATAAACACAAAGTAGTGATATAAACAAAAAGTGGTGATATAAACACAAAGTAGTAATATAAACACAAACTGGTGATATAAACAGAAAGTAGTGATAAACACACAAAGTGGTGATATAAACACAAAGTAGTAATATAAACACAAAGTGGTGATATAAACACAAAGTAGTGATATAAATACAAAGTGGTGATATGAACACAAAAAGTTGTCATATAAACACAACGTAGTAATATTAACACAAAGTGGTGATATAAACACATAAAGTGGTGATATAAACACAAAGGAGTGATATAAACACACTACAGTGATATCAACACAAACTGGTTATATAAACACAACGTGGTGATATAAACACAAAGTGGTGATATAAACACAAAGTAGTGATATAAATACAAAGTGGTGATATGAACACAAAAAGTGATATAAACACACAAAGTCGTGATATAAACAAAGTAGTGATATCAACAAAAAGTGGTGATATAAACAAAAAGTGGTGATATAAACACAAAGTAGTATTATTAACACAAAGTGGTGATATAAACACATCAAGTGGTGATATAAACACAAAGTGGTGATATAAACACAAAGTAGTAATATAAACACAAAGTGGTGATATAAAGACACAAAGTTGTGATGTAAACACATAAAATGGTGATATAAACACAAAGTAGTGATATAAACACACTACAGTGTTATAAACACAAACTGGTTATATAAACACAAAGTGGTGAGATAAACACAAAGTGGTGATATAAACACAAAGTAGTGATATAAACACAAAGTAGTGATATAAATACAAAGTGGTGATATACACACAAAGTGGAGATATAAACACACAAAGTTGTGATATAAACACACAAAGTGGTGATATACACACAAAGTGGAGATATAAACACACAAAGTTGTGATATAAACACACAAAGTGGTGATATAAAAACACAAAGTAGTGATATAAACACACTACAATTTTATAAACACAAAGTGATGATAAAAAAACACACTAGTGAAAGAAACACAAAGTGTTGATATAAACACAAAGTAGTGATATAAACAAAAAGTGATGATATAAACACAAAGTAGTAATGTAAACACAAAGTGGTGATATAAACAGAAAGTAGTGATATACACACAAAGTGGTGATATAAACACAAAGTAGTGATATAAATAAAAAGTGATGATATAAACACAAAGTAGTAATGTAAACACAAAGTGATGATATAAACAGAAAGTAGTGATATACACACAAAGTGGTGATATAAACACAAAGTAGTGATATAAACCAATAGTGATGATATAAACACACAATGTAGTGATATAAACACAAAGTGGTGATATAAGCACAAAGAAGTGGTGATATAAACCCAAAGTAGTGATATAAACCAATAGTGATGATATAAACACACAATGTAGTGATATAAACACAAAGTGGTGATATAAACACAAAGAAGTGGTGATATAAACACAAAGTGGTGATATAAACACAAAGAAGTGGTGATAATCACAAAGTAGTGATATAAACCAATAGTGATGATATAAACACACAATGTAGTGATATAAACACAAAGTGGTGATATAAACACAAAGAAGTGGTGATATAAACACAAAGTGGTGATATAAACACGCAACAGTGATATCAATACAAAGTAGTGATATAAACACATAATAGCGATATATATAGAAGTTGAACAAATTTTTGAAGATTGACTTACGTATAGTGACCGTATTACAACCAATAGTTTTACAAACAAATAAAATGGGTTGTATGTGTTCATCTTTAGAATTTTTGCAATATATTTACAATAGTCACGACACGGTAGTCTAGTGGTAGGACGCCGGGCTCGTGACCGAATTGTTTCGGGTTCGAGCCACGGCACGGCACTGTGTTGTATCTTTGAACAAAATACTTTACTCCGCTTGTTCCAGTCTACTCCGCTGTAAATGAGTACTTGGTTGGGTAGTGCTAGAATTGTTTAATGCCAGCTGTGAGCACCGAAATGGCAGCACCGGCTGTATGCTTCCCAGGGAGTTGAGAAAGATGTTGGCTGGTGGCAAAGGTCCTATAACCACGGATAATAGTTTGTTAACCGCTTTGAGACGACCTACGAACTAGGTTGTGATAAAGCGGTATATAAGAACCTCCAATTATTATTATTGATTAGTATCGTACTTTATAAATTGCACTTCAAAATATTGAAACAAAAGAGTAACTATCAAGGTTTTTAACAAATTTATTGAAAACAACAAGTTTGGTTTAACAATATGTAAAAAACAAAGAGATCACCTTAGTTTGATGTATCTATAAAAATATTGCATTGACATTTAAAAATAATAACATATCAGACATTATTTTAATTCTTTTTTAACAATCTTACAATAAATTAAGAAACATGCGCATAACAATTCAAACATACAAATATCAACATTAATCCAATCTTTGTCTAATGGCTTAGTAGCGATTCCTCTTGTGTATAAATTTCCTGGTACTTGTTGACCTTTGGTGGATCGGTGACCTTCGATTTCTCTGCATTGATTCTACTTCCTCCACCAGATAGCTCAACTTCATATCTAAACACTGTATCTGTAAACCCAATTGATATACAGTCGTCATATATTTGGGTTAGATATTTCATTGGGGACATATCACTGTAAAGAGATAACGATTGTTTTACACTGTGTTAAAAACGCCACGCATGAAATGTCAGCCTGTTACGGTCACTTTATTTTTGTGACATTTAATGCATTTCTTGTCGAAGCTTCGTAAGGCAGGATTTTAAAATAGCAACGGAAACATGAATAGAAATAAAACTTTTGTGTTAAAGTTATCAATAAAAAGATGAGGCCCCTATGAGCAAAGTAGTAAATATTAAGCTTTTAAAATATCTAAAACGTGTTTCCTGAGGACCGATCCATTGATTACATTTGGTTCAAACTAATATGGCATCAGAACAAATGTACAGTAAGCTGTTTCTTGTTTGTTTTTGAAATAAGTTATGTCTGGATACTACACAATATCAGGAACTTTGCGTTTCCCGAGTGAAGCTATGTTAAAGCAGTGACTTTTACTTGATGCAATATATTTACAATGTGAATGTTATAGAATAGTAGCGTTTACAATAATTAGTTTAACAGTTCTAGTTGTTTAATTTGATTAGGGTTGAAGCCTAACTTTATTACAAAATAATGAAATGTTATTACTAAATTTGAATGGATGTTGTAAACGAATATATATATATCCATACTACCAATGCTGTTATGAGTTATTATATACATGTTCAATAACAATTGAAACGTCAAAATATCTCACTTTAGCAAATGACTCAACAATCTCTCCCGCTTATTATGGTTTGGTGTAACAATCTTCACATTTCGTATCTAATTCTAAACATATCCTCAACTCGTTGAGATAGTCAGTCAGGTCTTCTGTAGTCTATTCAATCTACTGATTCTAAATACAGTCGACCATACGTCGTTTCAAAGAAAATATTTAGTTATATAAGTAAAATCATGTCTGTTCTTTTTGTATGTTCGATTTTACTACTAGAGAGATGGTTTCCGTGGGTTCCACTTTACTACTGGAAGGAGGGTGTCCATGGGTTCCACCTTACAACTAGACAGAGGGTTTCAAAGGTTCAACTTTAAAATAGACAGAGTTTTTTTTTCAAGTGTTTGAACTTGATACCAGACAGGATGTTTTGCAGTGTATAGGATTTACTTTTGTTAGTTTGATTTTGATACTATACAGAGGCTTTTGGTGTGTGATTTTGATACTATACAGAGGCTTTTGGTGTGCGATTTTGGTGTGTTCGAATTTGATACAAGACATGATTAGACGACCTGGTGTGCTCTGTATCAGGTTCTGTATCACGTACCTTTTCCAAAACCTTTGGTAAGTTGCGCAACAAAAATCTATCATTCCTCCTGATTTGGACTAGATCTGTAAACTCTGCGAAGTCAAGGTCAATGTCATCTGAAACAAAAGCAAATCTGAGAGATGTCTGAACAATTTGCGCGTTGTTTTATATATGCGTTGCTATACAATTATTTCCAATAATTTTGATTGAAAAGAAACGCATTTTTTGTGGTAACAATAATTATAACTATCTATAAAACCATAACCTGGTACCACAACTCTCTATAACACCATAACCTGGTACCACAACTCTCTATAACACCATAACCTGGTACTACAACTTTCTATAACACCAAAACCTGGTACCAAAACTCTCTACAACACCATAACCTGGTACCACAACTCTCTATAACACCATAACCTGGTACCACAACTCTCTATAACACCATTACCAGGTACCACAACTCTCTACAACACCATAACCTGGTACCACAACTCTCTATAACTCTACAACCTGGTACCACAACTCTCTATAACACCATAACCTGGTACCATAACACTCTATAATTCTACAATCTTGTACCACAACTCTCTATAACTCTACAACATGGTACCACAACTCTCTATAACTCTACAACATGTTACAACAACTCGCTATAACACCATAACCCGCTACCACAACTCTCTATAACTCTACAACCTGGTACCACAACTCCCTATAACTCTACAACCTGGTACCATAACACTCTCTAACTCTACAACCTGGTACCACAACTCCCTATATCTCTACAACATGGTACCATAACTCTCTATAACCCTACAACCTGGTACCATAACTTTCTATAACTCTACCATCTGGTACCACAACTCTCTATAACTCTACAACATGGTACCACAACTCTCTATAACACCATAACCTGGTACCATAACTTTCTATAACTCTACAACCTGGTACCACAACTCTCTATAACTCTACAATCTGGTACCACAACTCTCTATAACACAATAACCTGGTACCATAACTTTCTATAACTCTACAACCTGGTACCACAACTCCCTATATCTCTACAACATGGTACCATAACTCTCTATAACCCTACAACCTGGTACCATAACTTTCTATAACTCTACAATCTGGTACCACAACTCTCTATAACTCTACAACCTGGTACCAAACTCTCTATAACACCATAACCTGGTACCATTGCACTCTATAACACTACAATCTGGTACCACAACTCCCTATAACTCTACAACCTGGTACCATAACACTCTATAACTCTACAACCTGGTACCACAACTCCCTATAACTCTACAACCTGGTACCATAACTCTCTATACTCTACAACCTGGTACCACAACTCCCTATAACTCTATAACCTGGTACCATAACACTCTTTAATTCTACAATCTGGTACCACAACAATCTATAACTCTACAACATGGTACCACAACTCTCTATAACACCATAACCGGGTACCATAACACTCTATAATTCTACAATCTCGTACCACAACTCTCTATAACACCATAACCCGGTACCACAACTCTCTATAACTCTACAACCCGGTACCATAACTTTCTATACCTCTACAACCTGGTACCATAACTCTCTATAACTCTACAACCTGTTACCACAACTCCCTATAACTCTACAACCTAGTACCATTACACTCTATAATTCTACAATCTTGTACCACAACTCTCTATAACTCTACAAGATGGTACCACAACTCTCTATAACACCATAACCTAGTACCAAAACTCTCTATAACTCTACAACATGGTACCACAACTCTCTATAACCCCATAACCTGGTACCACAACTCTCTATAACTCTGCAACATGTTACAACAACTCGCTATAACACCATAACTCGCTACCACAACTCTCTATAACTCTACAACCTGGGACCACAACTCTTTATAACACCATAACCTGGTACCATAACACTCAATAATTCTACAATCTGGTACCACAACTCTCTATAACTCCATAACCTGGTACCATTGCACTCTATAATTCTACAACCTGGTACCATAACTCTCTATAACTCTACAACCTGTTACCACAACTCCCTATAACTCTACAACCAGGTACCATTACACTCTATAATTCTACAATCTGGTACCGCAACTCTCTATAACACCATAACCTGGTACCATAACACTCTATAATTCTACAATCTCGTACCACAACTCTCTATAACACCATAACCTAGTACCAAAACTCTCTATAACTCTACAACATGGTACCACAACTCTCTATAACCCCATAACCTGGTACCATAACACTCTATAATTCTACAATCTCGTACCACAACTCTCTATAACACCATAACCCGGTACCACAACTCTCTATAACTCTACAACCTGGGACCACAACTCTTTATAACACCATAACCTGGTACCATAACACTCAATAATTCTACAATCTGGTACCACAACTCTCTATAGCTCTACAACATGTTACAGCAACTCGCTATAACACCATAACTCGCTACCACAACTCTCTATAACTCTACAACCTGGTACCCCAACTCCCTATATCTCTACAACATGGTACCATAACTCTCTATAACTCTACAACATGTTACAGCAACTCGCTATAACACCATAACTCGCTGCCACAACTCTCTATAACTCTACAACCTGGGACCACAACTCTTTATAACACCATAACCTGGTACCATAACACTCTATAATTCTACAATCTGGAACCACAACTCTCTATAACACCATAACCTGGCACCATAACACTCTATAATTCTACAATCTGGTACCATAACTCTCTATATCTCTGCAACCTGGTACCACAACTCTCTATAACTCTGCAACCTGGTACCACAACTCTCTATAACACCATAACCGGGTACCATAACACTCTATAATTCTACAATCTCGTACCACAACTCTCTATAACACCATAACCCGGTACCACAACTCTCTATAACTCTACAACCCGGTACCATAACTTTCTATACCTCTACAACCTGGTACCATAACTCTCTATATCTCTGCAACCTGGTACCACAACTCTCTATAACTCTACAACCTGGGACCACAACTCTTTATAACACCATAACCTGGTACCATAACACTCTATAATTCTACAATCTGGTACCACAACTCTCTATAACTCTACAAGATGGTACCACAACTCTCTATAACACCATAACCTGGTACCATAACACTCTATAACTCTACAATCTGGTACCACAACTCTCTATAACTCTACAACCTGGTACCACAACTCTCTATAACTCTACAAGATGGTACCACAACTCTCTATAACACCATAACCTGGTACCACAACTCTCTATAACTCTACAACATGTTACAACAACTCGCTATAACACCATAACCCGCTACCACAACACTCTATAACTCTACAACCTGGTACCACAACTCTTTATAACACCATAAACTGGTACCATAACACTCTATAATTCTACAATCTGGTACCACAACTCTCTATGACACCATAACCTGGTACCACAACTCTCTATAACACTATAACCTGGTACCATAACTCTCTATAACTCTATAACCTGGTACCACAACTCTCTATAACTCTGCAACCTGGTACCACAACTTTCTATAACACCATAACCTGGTACCATAACTCTCTATAACTCTACAACCTGGTACCACAGCTCTTTATAACACCATAACCTGGTACCATAACACTCTATAATTCTACAATCTGGTACCACAACTCTCTATAACTCTGCAACCTGGTACCACAACTCTCTATAACACCATAACCTGGTACCATAACTCTCTATAACTCTACAACCTGGTACCACAACTCCCTATAGCTTTACAACATGGTACCATAACTCTCTATAACTCTACAACCTGGTACCACAACTCCCTATAGCTTTACAACATGGTACCATAACTCTCTATAACTCTACAACCTGGTACCATAACTTTCTATAACTCTACAACCTGGTACCATAACTCTCTATAACTCTACAACCTGGTACATATATATCTATAACTCTACAATCTGGTACCACAACTCTCTATAACTCTACAACCTAGTACCACAAGTCGCTATAACTCTACAACCTGGTACCATAACTCTCTATAACTCTACAACCTGGTACCACAAGTCGCTATAACTCTACAACCTGGTACCATAACTCTCGATAACTCTACAACCTGGTACCATAACTATCTTTAACTCTACAACCTGGTACCACAACTCTCTATAACTCTACAACCCAGTACCATAACTTTCTATACCTCTACAACCTGGTACCACAACTCTTTATAACTCTACAACCTGGTACCACAACTCTCTATAACTCTACAACCAGGTACCACAACTATCTTTAACGCTACAACCTGGTACCACAACTCTCTATAACTCTACAACCCGGTACCATAACTTTCTATACCTCTACAACCTGGTACCATAACTCTCTATAACTCTACAACCTGGTACTATAACTTTCTATAACTCTACAACCTGGTACCGCAACTCTCTATTACTCAACAACCTGGTACCACAACTCTCTATAACTGAACAACCTGGTACCACAACTCTCTATAACTCTACAACCTGGTACAATAATTTTGAATAACTCTACAACCTGGTACCACAACTCCCTATAGCTCTACAACATGGTACCATAACTCTCTATAACTCTACAACCTGGTACCATAACTTCTATAACTCTACAATCTGGTACCACAACTCTCTATAACTCTACAACCTGGTACCAAACTCTCTATAACACCATAACCCGGTACCACAACTCTCTATAACTCTACAACCTGGTACCATAACTCTCTATAACTCTACAACCTGGTACCATAGTTTTGTATAACTCTACAACATGGTACCATAACTCGCTATAACACCATAACCCGGTACCACAACTCTCTATAACTCAACAACCTGGTACCACAACTCTCTATAACTCTACAACCTGGTACCATAACTCTCTATAACTCTACAACCTGGTACCAAAACTCGCTATAACACCATAACCCGGTACCACAACTCTCTATAACTCAACAACCTGGTACCACAACTCTCTTTAACTCTACAACCTGGTACCAGAATTCTCTATAACTTTACAACATGGTACCACAACTCTCTATAACTCAACAACATGGTACCACAACTCTCTATAACTCTACAACCTGGTACTAAAACTCTCTATAACTCAACAACCTGGTACCATAACTCTCTATAACTCTACATTCTGGTACCATAACTCGCTATAACACCATAAACTGGTACCACAACTCTCTATAACTCTATAACCTGGTACTTTTACTTTCTATAACTCTACAACCTGGTAGCATAACTCTCTATAACTCTACAACCTGGTACCACAACTCTCTGTAACTCTACAACATGGTACCACAACTCTCTATAACACCAAAACCTGGTACCATAACTCGCTATAACTCTACAACCCGGTACTATAACTTTCTATAACTCTACATCCTGGTACCATAACTCTCTATAACTCTACCACCTGGTACATATCTCTCTATAACTCTACAACATGGTACCACAATTCTCTATAACTCTACAACATGGTACCACAACTCTCTATAACTCTACAACCTGGTACCATAACTCTCTATAACTCTACAACCTAGTACCATAATTCTCTATAACTCTACAACCTAGTACCATAACTCTCTATAGCTCTACAACTTAGTACCATAACTCTCTATAACTCAACAACATGGTACCACAACTCTCTATAACTCTACCACCTGGTACATATCTCTCTCTAACTCTACAACATGGTACCACAATTCTCTATAACTCTACAACATGGTACCACAAATCTCTCTAACTCAACAACATGTTACCACACCTCTCTATAACTCTACAACCTGGTACTATAACTCTCTATAACACCAAAACCTGGTACCATAACTCGCTATAACTCTACAACCTGGTACTATAACTTTCTATAACTCTACAACCTGGTACCACAACTCTCTATAACTCTACCACCTGGTAGATATCTCTCTATAACTCTACAACATTGTACCACAACTCTCTATAACTATATAACATGGTACCACAACTCTCTATAACACCATAACCTGGTACATATCTCTCTATAACTCTACAACCCGGTACCACAACTCTCTATAACTCTACAACCTGGTACCATAACTCTCTATAACTCTATTACCTGGTACATATCTCTCTATAACTCTACCACCTGGTACATATCTATCTATAACTCTACAACCTGGTACATAACTCTCTATAACTCTACCACCTGGTACATATCTATCTATAACACCATAACATGGTACATATCTCTCTATAACACCATAAACTGGTAATATCTCTCTTTAACTCTATAACCTGGTACCACAACTCTTTATAACTCTACAACCTGGTACATATCTCTCTATAACTCTACAACCTGGTACATATATATCTATAACTCTATAACCTGGTACAAATCTCTCTTTAACTCTATAACCTGGTACCACAACTTTCTATAGCTCTACAACCTGGTACATAACTCTCTATAACTCTACAACCTGGTACCATACCTCTTTATAAACCTATAAACTGGTTTCATGACTTTCTTTAACTCTATAACCTGGTACCATAAATCTCTATAACTTAGTACCATAACTATCTTTAACTTCTATAGCATCGTATCATTACTCTCTATAACTCTCTATAACATCCATAACTTGGTACTAAAACTTTCTATAACTCTATAACCTGGTACCATATAACTTCTATAACTTCTATAATCTGGTACAATACATTTCTATAACTTCAATAACCTGGTACTACAACTATCTATTACTTCAATAACCTGGTACTACAACTATCTATAACTTCTATAACCTGGAACCATAACTCTCTATAACTGTATAACCTTATACAATAGTCATATATAACCTGGTACATAAATATATATAACTATATAGCCTGGTATCATCTACAGTGACAGAGGGGTCAAACGTGCCCGAACATTTACATACGGCATAAATGAAATCGAGCATGTGTCAAGATCCTGCGTTTTTCATCACTATATTTAATGGTTGACACAATACAATTAGAAACCCATGCAGCAGAAGCCTCCAGTGTTTATTACCCAAATGTATCGGTATCAAGTGGTAGGAGAGTACTTACCACATTCATTGGCTTTAGTCTCACCAAGCAGTATCAAGCCGGTGAGTAGTAGTGCTCCTCGTAAAGTCGATGTCCACATAATAAGTGTGTTGTTTGTAGTGGTATGGAGAGGTTGTCACTTCTCGATGTGGCAGAGGCTGTATGACCAGAATAACCAAAAGTACCATTTTATACACTTCGACAATGTATGGGAGTGGTGTAAGTATTCAATTAAAATTATTCATTCGTCGCGTGGTGCTCGTTCGCTCGAGTGACCCCGTCCTGTGTAATATGTACTTAGCTTGTTCTACACTGGAGGTCATATTATAATACCACTAAAGAACAGAAATGTATTATCGGGGTCAGTCATTAATCTGTGGTTATTTGCTATGTGCTACGGGATTATGTTCCGGAGAATCGAGAATGAAATTGGACTCAACATCGATATGTAGGATTTAAGTACCGTTTGTGTTGAATTTTCAATGATTGTAACGATTGTAAGATATACAATGTATATACGCTATCACGTGATTGTCACATGTGATTTTTAACAGATGTTTTGTTGAATTTGAACAAGAAATATTTTTACTGAATGTTGAATATGACATCGCTTTAAGCCGATTTTTTAACTAGAAATAGAGAGCGAGAAATTGCTTTCCCAGTCCGTTATTTTTTGTTTCTTTATTACTAGAATCATTTATGTGAGAATAAGAACTCTGAATTTTTAGGATGTAAGAAAATCTCGCAAACATTTCATATTAAAGAAAAGCAAAAAGGACTCTGTTATAACAATGTAAGAATGTAAGATTTACAGTGGACGTCTAGCCAAAGCGTGGGCTACTGTATAATGTTCTAAAGGACCCGACGCTATGACCACAACCACAGAGCCCAAGGTATTGTAAGTTGGGGAAGTGTATCAATGGATGAATTGTGTTCCAATAAAATTCTTGACTTTTTAATCAGTCAATCCTGAAAGAGAAATTTCATAACAAATTACCATATAAACCTGTTTTTTTTACTCTAGCTGATAAGGTAACTCATGTGAAGCTTCATAAGAGGGATAGTCTCATTTATGTACAGAAATAACGCCACGAAAGCTGTTCGTGGTGTGGGATGTACTGGGACAAGGGTTGTGTATAACAGTAGAGCAACAATACACGGCCTATATAGTATTTATAGAGGCTAGGTTTTGTTTATTCATCTATAAATAACCTACCGCCATGCGTGTTACAACTACTGTACATGTCCCTGTAATAGATTAAGGCAAAATCAACATAGACGTCTATTCTAAATGTTGAACATGTAAGTTAATGTTTTGTTACCTATACCTTATACTATATGTCGGTCGTGTCATGCATGGTTGCGGCAAACTGTACAGCTGTGATCAGGTAAACGGCTTGGTAGATGCACCAGGTGACTTCTAACCTGAATAGGTACTTGTCTTTTATTGTCCCCAGTAGGAAACAAATGCTATGTCATTCTGTAACAAAGTGTGACACTCATCACATGCGGTTAGCATCTTAAGTTATATCAGCTATAGGCCTTGATGTGTGTAGATTAAGATTAATATTAAAGTCAATTCATGTCGATGTTTGATGGTGTTTCAAATTCTAAAATGAATATAGCACCTATTAAACTTTTATATCAAATGTATATGTGTGTTTAAAAAAGAAATTTAAAACATTACCAATTTCCTCGAGTATATTGAGTTTCGTGTGGTTAGAAATATGCCTTTGATCATAGTATTCGTGTGTGTTGTCTTTGAAAGGACAATATATATATAAACTTTCCCATATATTATATGAAGTTTTATACCTAAGTAAGGTAAGTTTACGCAGACAACATGGGTCTGTGGGAGAACATTCAGTCCTGTACAACTGGTGGCCGTCACATGTTAGTTATATTCACATCCGCTTTACAATGCTGATATCACCATGGAGCTGCCCCGGGAATGTTATACAAAAATATCTACAAGCACAAAAGTTTAACACATTTAAATTGACGCCTACTATTATTGATATTTTTATACAATGTATAGTTGTAAACGTACTATTCTGTATCACGTATACTTTTCTGTGTCCTACGGGAAGGTAAGACAATGCTGCAATATCTAAATTTATTCGAGGTTTTAGCTCTATTTCGATATATAAGCATCTCATCCTCATTCTTTTCTGGCAGTTTATGTCAGATTTATCAATTTCATTAGTTAAATATGCCTGTCGTAAAATGCGCATATGTAGAGAATATGCAGAGAATCTAATACTACGTAATAAAGACTGTGAATCTCACAGAATGTCAAATTGTTTCGTGTTTCAGCTTTTGATGTAAAAACGTGTATTTTTTCTTCTCCTCACTTTCAGTTTACTTTAATGTGTAGGCAACACTAATCAACGTGTCCGTTTTCACAATAGTTGTTATGTTTTTGCTCATACTTTCTTTCACAATACGTACACCAGTAACACAATACGTACACCAGTAACACAATACATAACCAGTAACACAATACATACACCAGTAACACAATACGTACCCCAGTAACACAATACGTACACCAGTAACACAATACGCACACTAGTAGCACAATACGTACACCAGTAATACAATACGTACACCAGTAACACAATACGTAGTACACCAGTAACACAATACGTACACCAGTAACAAAATACATACACCAGTAACACATTACGTACACCAGTAACACAATACGTACGCCAGTAACACAATACATACACCAGTAACACAATACGTACACCAGCAACACAATATACCCCAGTAACACAATACGTACACCAGTAACACAATCCATTCGCCAGTAACACAATACGTACACCAGCAACACAATATACCCCAGTAACACAATACGTACACCAGTAACACAATCCATTCGCCAGTAACACAATACGTACACCAGCAACACAATATACACCAGTAACACAATACGCACACCAGTAACACAATACGTACACCAGTAACACATTACGTACACCAGTAATACAATACGTACTCCAGTAACACAATACGTACACCAGTAACACAATCCATTCGCCAGTAACACAATACGTACACCAGCAACACAATACATACACCAGTAACACAATACGTACCCCAGTAACACAATACGTACACCAATAACACAATATGTACACCAGCAACACATTACGTACACCAGTAATACAATACGTACTCCAGTAACACAATACGTACACCAGTAACACAATTCATACACCAGTAACACAATACGTACACCAGTAACACATTACGTACACCAGTAATACAATACGTACACCAGTAACACAATACGCACACCAGTAACACAATATACACCAGTAACACAATACGTACACCAGTAACAAAATACATACACCAGTAACACATTACGTACACCAGTAACACAATACGTACACCAGTTACACAATACGTACACCACTAACACAATACGTACACCAGCAACACAATACGCACACTAGTAGCACAATACGTACACCAGTAATACAATACGTACACCAGTAACACAATACGCACACCAGTAACACAATATACACCAGTAACACAATACGTACACCAGTAACACATTACGTACACCAGTAATACAATACGTACACCAGTAACACAATACGCACACTAGTAGCACAATACATACACCAGCAACACATTACGTACACCAGTAACACAATACGTACACCAGCAACACAATATACACCAGTAGCACAATACGTACACCAGTAACACAATACGTACACCAACAACACAATACGTACACCAGCAACACATTACGTACCCCAGTAACACAATACGTACACCAGCAACACATTACGTACACCAGTAACACAATACATACACCAGTAACACAATACGTACACCAGTAACAAAATACATACACCAGTAACACATTACGTACACCAGTAACACAATACGTACACCAGTAGCACAATACGTACACCAGTAACACAATACGTACAACAGTAACACAATACATACACCAGTAACACAATACGTACCCCAGTAACACAATACGTACACCAGTAACACAATTCATACACCAGGTACACCAGTAACACAATACGTACACCAGTAACAAAATACATACACCAGTAACACATTACGTACACCAGTAACACAATACGTACACCAGCAACACAATACATACACCAGTAACACAATACGTACACCAGCAACACAATATACACCAGTAACACAATACGTACACCAGTAACACATTACGTACACCAGTAATACAATACGTACACCAGTAACACAATACGTACACGAGTAACACAATACGTACACCAATAACACAATACGTACACAAGCAACACATTACGTACACCAGTAATACAATACGTACTCCAGTAACACAATACGTACACCAGTAACACAATACCCACACCAGTAACACAATACGTACACCAGTAACACATTACGTACACCAGTAATACAATACGTACACCAGTAACACAATACGCACACTAGTAGCACCATACGTACACCAGTAACACAATACGTACACCAGCAACACAATACGTACACCAGTAATACAATACGTACACCAGTAACACAATACGCACACTAGTAGCACCATACGTACACCAGTAACACAATACGTACACCAGTAACACAAGACGCACACTAGTAGCACAATACATACACCAGCAACACATTACGTACACCAGTAACACAATACGTACGCCAGTAACACAATACATACACCAGTAACACAATACGTACACCAGCAACACAATACGTACACCAGCAACACAATACGTACACCAGTAATACAATACGTACACCAGTAACACAATACGCACACCAGTAACACAATACATTCACCAGTAACACAATACGTACACCAGTAACACATTACGTACACCAGTAATACAATACGTACTCCAGTAACACAATACGTACACCAGTAACACAATGCGTACACCAGTAACACAATACATACACCAGTAACACATTACGTACACCAGTAACACAATACGTACACCAGCAACACATTACGTACACCAGTAACACAATACATACACCAGTAACACAATACGTACACCAGTAACACAATACGTACACCAATAACACAATACGTACACCAGCAACACATTACGTACACCAGTAATACAATACGTACACCAGTAACACAATACGTACACCAGTAACACAATCCATTCGCCAGTAACACAATACGTACACCAGCAACCCATTACGTACCCCAGCAACACATTACGTACACCAGTAACACAATACGTATTGTGTTACTGGGTGTACGTATTGTGTTACTGGGGTATGCATTGTGTTACTGGTGTACGTATTGTGTTGCTGGTGTACGTATTGTGTTGCTGGTGTACGTATTGTGTTGTTGGTGTACGTATTGTGTTACTGGTGTACTTATTGTGTTACTGGTGTACGTATTGTGCTACTAGTGTGCGTATTGTGTTACTGGTGTACGTATTGTGTTATTGGTGTACGTACACCAGTAACACAATACGTACACCAGTAACACAATACGTACACCAGTAACACAATGCATACACCAGTAACACAATACGTACACCCAGTAACACAATACGTACACCAGTAACACAATACGTACACCAGGAACACAATACGTACACCAGTAACAACACCAGTTACACAATACGTACACCACTAACACAATACGTACACCAGCAACACAATACTTACACCAGTAACACAATACGTACACCAGCAACACCATACGTACACCAGCAACACAATACGTGCACCAGTAACACAATACGTACACCAAGTACCACAATACGTACACCAGTAACACAAAACGTACACCAGTAACACAATACGTACACCCAGTAACACAATACGTACACCAGTAACACAATATACACCAGTAACACAATACGTACACCAGCAACACCATACGTACACCAGCAACACAATACGTACACCAGTAACACAATACGTACACCAGTAACACAATACATACACCAGTAACACGGATTTGAAACATTCAAGATGAGTACTTTGTTTGGAAATATGACAACACGTTGTACATTTATTGGATGGTGAATCCAAAAGCAGGTTTAATTCCTTCATGAAGAGAGATATATATCTGACTACGGACAAGGGGAGTTTTGTTCTGAATGTTACCGTACCTCACGAATGCGTATTAAAAATATATCCCTCCAGAAATGGTATATTCATTAGGGAAGTGCAGGCAGAGATCTGTGTTTAGTTATATGGGTCTACGTCGTAAATCCTCCTAACGTAACATGCGGTGCAGTTTCGCCTGTTTAGTATCAGGGAAATCAGCGACGTCAACATACCTATGTTCCCTAAAAGGATGAGTGTGTATTAAAATGTCCAGGTGTGTGTACTCGTTACTTACACCCACCCAATGTATGGTCGAACGACCACAAGAATGTACCGTTGAATCGTTTTGTCATTAGAGTGGTTAGATACCAACATTGTATACATGTGTATGTCTCAATAAAATCAATCCGAGGTATTAATTCAAGTTCTTCCCACTCTACAAAACCACGTTATATACCCCATTAAACATATTTTGCTGAAATTAATAGGGATTTATTGGTCAACGAAATAGCCGATAGAGATCGTAATCTGATACATCCTGACTTCGCTATGGTAGACTTTCCGGTTTCATTTCACATACCCTTAATTGATGTCTTCAATGCAAAATTCCTGACTTTAAATATGTAGCAAATGAGCTTCAATGAATAAGATAAGAAATTAATCAAAACGTGTAGATACCTCAATATTTCTGTTAGTGCTTTCATCGTTCAGCTGCTTTATTCAAACAGCCAATGGATGTGTATATTTTCATATTTTTTTCCTGGATATCCTGGCAAGATATCAATGGTGGACGATGAAGCATTTATAATGGAAACTTAACAGCTGGAAACTACTTCTATTCTTCAATAAATTTCATCAGTTTGGAAATATGTGATTTAAAAGTTTCACTTTTAACACACACAATGTACATGTGTCGCAACGGTGGTCGAGTTGTAGGACGCCGGGCTCGTGACCGAAGGGTTGTGGGTTCGAGTCACGGCACGGTAGTCTAGTGGTAGGACGACGGGCTCGTGATCGAAGGGTTGCGGGTTCGAGCCACGGCACGGCACTGTGTTGTATCTTTGAACAAAATACTTTACTCCGCTTGTTCCAGTCTACTCCGCTGTAAATGAGTACGTGGTTGGGCAGTGCGAGAATTGTTGAATGGTAGCTGTTAGCGCCGAAATGGCAGCTCCGGCTGTATGCTCCCCATGGAGTTGAGAAAGATATTGGCTGGTTGCAAAGGCCCTATAACCACGGATACTAATTTTTGAACCGCTTTGAGACGACCTACGAACTATAGGTTGTGATAAAGCGGTATATAACCTCGAATTATTTTTATTATTATTAACAAAGTGATGGCTAATTTTGCGAGATTGTACAAAAACATAACTACATGTCAATATTTTAGTGTTTTTTTTTACACTAAATTATGTTTCCAAAACCGAGTCTTGAGACAATGAACAATCAGCCTGAATGACGGAAACGATGTGAACAAAAATAGACGAAATATTAAACAATTACCGGGTTTATTGCTGATTAGCTTAACAACAAAAATAGACGAAATATTAAACAATTATCGGGTTTATTGCTGGTAAACTTAACAACAAAGATAGAAATCATTAAACAATTTCCGGTATTATTGCTGGTTACCTAGAGGTGCTGATGACTGTCGCTGGGTGATGAGTTGGTGCTGGTTACTGTCGCTGGGTGATGAGTTGGTGCTGGTGACTGTCGCTGGGTGATGAGTTGGTGCTGATGACTGTCGCTGGGAGGTGAGGTGGGGCTGGTGACTGTCGCTTGGTGGAGAGGTGGTGCTGTTGACTGTCGCTGGGTGAGGAGGTGGGGCTGGTGAAAGTCGCTGGGTGGAGAGGTGGTGCTGGTGACTGTCGCTGGGTGGTGAGGTGGAGCTGGTGACTGTCGCTGGGTGGAGATGTGGGGCTAGTGACTGTCGCTGAGTGGGGAGGTGCTGGGTGAGGAAGTGGGGCTGGTGACTGTCGCTGGGTGAGGAAGTGGGGCTGGTGACTGTCGTTGGGTGGAGAGGTGGTGCTGGTGACTTTGGCTGAGTGGTGAGGTGGGGCTGGTGACTGTCGCTGGGTGGTGAGGTGGGACTGCTGACTGTCGCTGGGTGGTGAGGTGGGGCTGCTGACTGTCGCTGGGTGGTGAGGTGGGGCTGGTGACTGTCGCTGGGTGGTGAGTTGGTGCTGGTGACTGTCGCTGGGTGGAGAGGTGGTGCTGGTGACTGTCGCTGGATGGGGAGGTGGAGCTGGTGACTGTCGCTGGGCGGTGAGGTGGGGCTGGTGACTGTCGCTGGGTGGTGAGTTGGTGCTGGTGACTGTCGCTGGGTGGATAGGTAGTGCTGGTGACTGTCGCTGGATGGGGAGGTGGAGCTGGTGACTGTCGCTGGTCGGTGAGGGGGGGCTGGTGACTGTCGCTGGGTGGGGAGGTGGTGCTGATGACTATCGCTGGGTGGTGAGGTGGGGCTGGTGAGGGGGGGCTGGTGACTGTCGCTGGGTGGGGAGGTGGTGCTGATGACTGTCGCTGGGTGGAGAGGTAGTGTTGGTGACTGTCGCTGGGTGATGAGGTGGAGCTGGTGGCTGTCGCTGGGGCTGGTGACTGTCGTTGTGTGAAGAGGTGGGGCTGGTGACTGTCGCTGGTTGGGGAGGGGGGGCTGGTGACTGTCGCTGGGTAGGGGGGTGCTGGGTGGGGAGGGGGGGTTGGTGACTGTCGCTGGGTGGGGATGTGCTGGGAGGGAGGCGCTGGGTGGAGAGGTGGTGCTGGTGACTGTCGCTGGGTGGGGATGTGCTGGGAGGGAGTCGCTGGGTGGAGAGATGGTGCTGGTGACTGTCGCTGGGTGGGGATGTGCTGGGAGGGAGTCGCTGGGTGGAGAGGTGGTGCTGGTGACTGTCGCTGGGTGGGGATGTGCTGGGAGGGAGTCACTGGGTGGAGAGGTGGTGCTGGTGACTGTCGCTGGGTGGGAAGGTGGGACTGGTGACTGTTACTGGGTGGACAGGTGGGGCTGGTGACTGTCGCCGGGTGGGGAGGTGCTTGGTGGTGAAGTGGGGCTGGTGACTGTCCCTGGGTGGGGAGGTGATACTGATGACTATCGCTGGGTGGTGAGGTGGGGCTGGTAAGGTGGGGCTGGTGACTGTCGCTGGGTGGTGAGGTGGGGCTGGTGACTGTCGCTGGGTGGAGAGATGGTGCTAATGACTGTCGCTGGGTGGAGAGGTAGTGTTGGTGACTGTCGCTGGGTGATGAGGTGGAGCTGGTGGCTGTCGCTGGGGCTGGTGACTGTCGTTGTGTGAAGAGGTGGTGCTGGTGACTGTCGCTGGTTGGGGAGGTGGGGCTGGTGACTGTCGCTGGGTAGGGAGGTGCTGGGTGGGGAGGTGGGGTTGGTGACTGTCGCTGGGTGGGGATGTGCTGGGAGGGAGTCGCTGGGTGGAGAGATGGTGCTGGTGACTGTCGCTGGGTGGGGATGTGCTGGGAGTGAGTCGCTGGGTGGAGAGGTGGTGCTGGTGACTGTCGCTGGGTGGGGATGTGCTGGGAGGGAGT